TCATCAACATTATGGAGTTAAATTATTTTAATGGCATAATCTAAAAATTATGCTCGTAATCAAATTATTTGAGCTAGTAACCTCAAAAATGTCATTTTTCGAGTAAATAATAAGCATAAATATGACTATCTTATGGATGTATCTATTAAAATAATAAAATATCTAAACGATCCACATGGTGGATAAATTAATTCATGTATATCATCTTAAATATATTCTAAAAATACTAGAGATTCAATCTCAATTTTACTCGATGATTGCTTAATAATCAATTTGCCTTGAGAACAAGTAAAATATGAAAATTTATTAAATTGAAGAATCTTCTAGATCTTTAATAAATGTCTATATGAATTTTTAATAAATTTTCATATCATGAGACACAAGATAATCTAACTCGGTTATGTTACATAATAAAAGTGTTTAAATTAGTAAACATCCGGTTTACTATATCATTTGTTTCAATCATCAAATGTTTGTAATAAAGATTAAAAGAGAAAACAGAAAAATTTTTAAATACATATTTTCTACCCGATGTAATAATTATAATACATATGTATTCAATATTTGTTACATTTTTTGTCTTGATATGATGTCTATTTAGACAAATATCTTTGAAACTTAATAAATTTTTATGAGACTTTAGAGAAAATAATGCATCATTTATAATAAAATTTATCTTTTTAGATAATAATATATTTACTCTTCCGGAGCTTTTAAATTCTATCACGTCAAGTAATAATATATTTGCACAAATAGAGCCTTTAAAAATTATCTCTTCAATTAACAATATATTCACTATTCTAGAGCCATCTATTAGATTGATACTATCGGATATAATATTAACATAAAATAAATAATTAAATAAGCACAAACAAATAAATAAATATATACCAAAATAAATTCATAACTATCACTATACAATAAAAATTATAAGAAATGTAAAACATCTTATTTATAAATAAAAAAATTAACAAGTAATTGATTTCAATTACTATAATTTTAATATATTAAAATGACCTCTATATTTTATTCTTTTCTTTTTTAACGAGGCTTGATAAGGCTCAATGAGGTGTTTTGGTGTATAATAGATACACGACCAATATCTATTCATATTACATCTATAACATTTATTCTCAAAATACTGACTTGATCTATTTTATTATTATCTTATTTGTTCATAGTTTATCCACTTATGGTGTGAGATGTATGATTATGATCATCACAATTATAACGATAATTATTCCGATCACGTCTATGGCTATGATCACGTCTTCGTTCATGCCTAAAATTATTATAAGTTGTCGCATTCACTTCATGAAGTGGAGTAGACCCAATTAGGCGGGATTTATTATTTTTCATTAATAGCTCGTTATTTTATTTAGCCACAAGCGAGTATGAAATTGATTTAGAATATTTCTTAAAATCTTTTTCTTGATATTACTACTGCAGGAGCATATTTGAGACACGAAAAGTAAAGAATATTTACTCGGCATCAAACATCCATGATCAATAATTCTTGCCCGAAATGTCAAGAGCCACAAAATCATATTTTATGAGATTTGATATGATAAAAAAATTTATATGCAAAGTACAATAATAATATTTGGAAAAACAAAATGTAATGATAAAATTTAAATAAAAACAAACATATTAATAAAATTTAAACTTTTCAAATAATATATATTAGATCATTAGAATCTATATATTAAATTATTTAACTTTTTCAAAAATATATTCTATGTATTATCATATTTAAAGTACAAGATAAATTAGATACATACCTCTTAATGACCTAGATAATTTAGATCTTTTGGTAGAATACTCTTGTCAAAAAACATTCCAATTATTGAAACAAATGATTGAGTTTTTTTAATAGATATATACCTAGTGGTCTATTATCTAAGTTGATCAAAGCTTCGTGCTTGATAATGTATTATAAAAGAAATGATAACAACAATAAAATTGAAGAGAAAAATGATGGAGAAACGATTTCACTATGAAAATAAAGAGAATGCAAGAGATAAAGAGGTAACAACTCCAAATAATTCTCTCAATCTCTACAAAATACTTATACATAAACTAATAAAAATAAAGCTTATTTATAGGTTTCAAAATTAAGAGAATTGAAAGACATTATGGACAATTAAAAGTACATAAATTATTGAATCAATTACATGATCTTTTTAATTTCTCACATTAAATGATAAAGTGAATTACATTAAAAATTATGAGTAATGAAAATATATAAAACATTTAAACACTCATATGAACATTCATTATTTCATAACATTTTTATCTTTTTTTATATATATTATTAGAGAAAATTATGTTGCTTGGCATGAGATGAAAGGGAACCATCTGTAGACTACAACAGCTAGTTTATGGTCGTTGTTGGGATCAATCATTATTGTTTTCTCTTGGCTCATCGATGCTGTGGAACAACCAAATAAAGCCATTTGGCTTCTTTTTTTTCCACTGCCTGGTATTCCTTTGACCCGCCAATTCCCTACTCCACTCGTTCTCTTTGATTAACACCACCAGCAATCGGCTCCGCAGTTGCAGAAATGGTGTCCAAAAATTCCTCCAAATCCTCTTTTTTATCATTTGCTGCTGAAATCAAAAAGATTTCGAGGAATTTTTGGCCACAGTTTACGTAACTGCGGGGTCAGTTGCTCTTAACGTTAATCAAAAAGAAACCGGAGAGAGTTGTAAATTGACAGGCTAAAAGAAATGGACCAACTGCACATGATTTTTTTTTCTGTAAAAAAGCTGACATATCATTGATATGGCATAAAATAATTTTTTTATATAAATAAATTTAAAACTATCTTATTATAAAAAAATAAGAATTAAAAATAACTTAATATAAAATCCAATTATAAAATATGAGTAAATAGTTCAATCTATTGGTATATAAGAGATTGATTCTTCAATCTCTTTTAATGTTTTTAATTATATTTATTATATTTTTTAATAATATTTAAACCTCAAATCTGTTATTATGAGCAAATTTTTTGGCCATTGTAATTTTTTAATTGAATAAAATAAAAAATAAAACATATGGTCATGTGATTTTTTAAGTTTTTTTTAATTTTGATAAGAAATATTTTGATTAACAAAATTATTAACAATTAGAAAAATACATCGGAATGACAGATTAAAGACTAAAACAATATACAATAAATAATAAATATAATTAAAAACGTAAGATAAAATAGAAACGAATGCTATTATATAACGTAGGATTAAACTAGTTATCCTAAAAACACTAGCTCATTTTTATGTAACTACCAAAATGTATCAATCAACATTAGTTGAGAGTCATCTTACTCCAACTTAACAAGCTTCCAAGTAACCAAACAATTGGCTTCGTTCATGCAAAATTATTTTTCACCTCCCCTAGCTTCCCTGCTAGTTAGATATTCATGTTATGTTGTGGTCAAACAAATATTATATACATAGAGTTAACGATTTGTATGGTGTGATGCGAGTAGATGTTTTGTTTCGAACATTAATGTAAATCGAATCTATATATTGAACAAACTTGTTTGATATATATATTAAAAAATAATTTATAATATTAGTATAAAAATTTATATTTGAATAATTAAGAGGCTCTTTTGAAACATTAATTAAACTATTTTATTTAAAAATACATATTTTAGAATAAGAAAAAAATAAATAACAAATAATTGATGTTATGTGTGCGGATATAATTAATTTCTAACAAAACTCTCTCTCTCTCTCTCTCTCTCTCTCTCTCTCTCTGTATATATATATCGTACTTAGCAGATTGAGAGTATATAAAACAAATTAAAAAATATATAAAAAAACACAACTCAAATCACATAGAATATATCGAAGTGAAAAGATTTAAATAAAAACTATTATAAAATTGGTTTCGATAAATTCGATTATATATATATAGGAGTTAGCAGATTCGAATATATAAAATAAATAAATAAAAAATATAAAAAAACCCACTTAAATCCCATGAAATATATCGAAGTGAATATATTTAAATAAAAGCTACTATACTATAAAATTTGATTATTTTTTTATTTATTCTGAATCGGCTAAGTACAATATGTACACACACACACACACACCAAATAAAACCTATGAATTTTTTTAACTAATCATTAATTTTTTTTAAAAAAAATTAAGTCAAATTATTTTTAAAAAAATTAAGTTAAATTATCTAAAACAAAGCTTTCTCTCTCTCATCGAATTTATATAATAACTACGTTCCTCTCATTTAAAAATCATAAAAATAATCAATCGTATAAATTATAATAATATATTCTAAAATACAAAACAATCATTTTTTAAAATTTTTTTTCAAAATCCATATATAAAAAAATCAAATTTATTAACAAATAAAATTACATAAAATAAAAAAATTTATTCGATGAGAATTTTAATAAGAAACAAACAATTAAAAAAATAAGTTTTAAGTAATAAAAATAATATAATCAGGTATATAGGTTTAAACTAAAATCTAAAAAAATATAATATATATTCTATTATCGTCAAACTGTATATAAAGCTTAAAAAAAATATCTTTTTTTAGTTTTATACCTAATTTTATGATAAAAAAATATAAAAATAAATTATTTGAATGAAACAAAAAAGAAGACAAAGGCTGGTTGGGACATCTTGTGCATGTTTGTGAGTCAGGCTAGGCTTGCTTGAGCCCGCAACCAACCCTAAAAAAAATAAAATAATAATAATAAAATGCCACAATAAATGGATATAAACTTGACTAGGCTGTTACAATAAATGACTGTGAGCCAGGATAGGCTCGTTCAGCCTGCGGTCAGCCTTTGAAGGGAAAAAAAGAATGGAATTGCTACAGAAATGAAAGTGACTCTCTCAGATTTTTTTAGTTTTTTTTAGTAATATAAGTCACAAATTCATTTGGAGTTGAGAGAGAACCAAATTGAACACAAGCTTGTGTTATTAGTATAGCATAGAAATTCATCATCTTAGCTACAGCAATGGAGAAGCTCATTTCAAGCTGGAATAACGTTCAATTTGTGCCTGAAAAGTACATATTTCCGCCTGAAAAACGACCGGGGAATATCACTTTTTCGGCAAGCAAGTCCATACCAGTGATAGATCTTGCTGAAACAGCGAGTAAAGATAGAGATGTTACTATACAGAAAATTTTGAAGGCAGCCCAAGAATATGGATTTCTCCAGGTTCCCAACTTCAACAATTTTACTCTTGTGATCATTTTATCTTTGATAATCATATGTTCAACATGTTAATCATTGACGAACACAAACATGAAGCAGGTGATCAATCATGGCGTAGAGGAAGATTTGATGAATGACACCATGAGGGTCTTCAAGGAATTCTTTACGTTGCCTGAAGAAGACAAGGCAAGCTTCTATATTGAGAATCCAAAGAAGAACAAGTATTGCATGCTGTATCCAAGCAGCATGCTTTATGCCACTGAAGATGTTCATTTATGGCGTGACAATTTACTGAATTCTTGTCATCCTCTGGAGGAAAGCATCCAACACTGGCCTGAAAAGCCAACCAGATACCGGTAAATCAAGCTTGCTGCAGTCATAATTTCTCTAGTTTTTTTTTCCCCTAAATTATCTTCATATAATTTGCAGAGAGGTTGTTGGGGCTTATGCTGCTGAAGTAAAGAAATTGGGGTCAAGAATATTGGAGTTGATTGGTGAAGGACTTGGGGTAGAGAGTGGGTATTTTGGGGGTAAACTGAGTGAAGTTTCAACACTGTTGGTGAATCATTATCCGCCATGTCCAGACCCAAGTTTGACCTTTGGAGTGCCTGCACATTGTGATCCTAACCTCATCACCATTTTACTCCAAGATAGTGATGTGTGCGGCCTTCAGGTCCTGAAGGATGGTGAATGGATTGGTGTTGACCCTCTTCCTAATGCATTTGTGGTCAACATGGGCTACCAAATGCAGGTACACCTCCCATTTTTTCTTTTTTCATTTTTCTGGTTGGTATAATCAGATCAGTTTTTGAGTTTTCTTCACGTTTAACTATTTTGTTTTCTAATTTGTTTTGGTCAAGACTCTCTACTATTTTTTATTGATACCTTCTAGTCTTCAAGATTTTTTTACTTGAAGCTCTCCGTTATAACACTGTCATTAAAAGTCTCAATCAAGAAATATATATAAGGTGATAATACTGGATGCTTGAATCTTTCTAACTTGTCCAACTTGTTTTCCCTGTCTAATGTTGACTTTTTTAAAAAATTCATTGGCATGGAATATTGTCATCAGAAATTAATATTTTGAATAACAAAATTTTATATCACAGTTTCCTGGTTGGATATTCTGGATTAAAACAAGATCATATGGATATAAAATTTTAGTTCTGCTAGCTTTAAGATCTTATTTTGGCTTTAAACTGACAAAATTTGGTGTTGTTGATGTTATAGATTATCAGTAACAACAAGCTGAAAAGTGTTGAGCATCGAGCTGTGACAAATTCAAGAAAAGCTAGAACAAGTGTTGCATGCTTTTTCCTTCCCAGTGATGACAGCATCATAGAGCCTGCAAGACCAGTTATTAATGCGCGCAATCCTCCAATCTATAAAGCCTTCAAGTACAAAGAGTTCCTTAGCCATTTCTTGACCAAAACTGGTGAACTTGATGGGCCATTGCAACCTTTTAAACTTCAGTCTTAGCCAGTTATTGGTACGAGAATGCCACCTTAGACCAGGATATTGGTCAAATGTTTGAAGATTAATTAAGAGCTTGTTTAGTACTATTGTGTTGTGTTGTGTTTTGTTATGACTGATTTGTTATATTATGTTTTATTAAGGTTGTATTGTGAAATAAAACGCTTTTAATATGATGAATTTTATGCGTTGAGATCTCTAAGTTGATGATGCAAAAACTAATTAATAATGAATAAATGAACGAGTAAATTATAAATTAGTCTCTCTTATTTAGAAAAACGAATTAATTAGTCTTTTTTTTCAAAAATTAATCATTTAATCTTTTATGTTTTAATTTTTTTAATAACTTAGTTATTTTATCAGTTTTTCATTAAATTAGTAATTTTTGTTTTCAATTTTTGTTTTTTTTTTTTGAAAAAAGAGTAGAAAATGAATGAAGAAGAGAAATAAGGCATAAAGAAAAAGGCAATTTGAGGGGGAAAACCACTAATTTAACCAAAAAAGTGATGAATTATTAATGCTGTATTGTGAAAAAAAACACATTCAATTTTAATATGGTGAATTTTATGTGTTCGGATCTCTAGTTAATGATGCGAGAACTAATTAATAATAAATAAATGAACGAGTAAATGATAAATTAGTCTCTTTTATTTAGAAAAACAAATTAATTAGTTTTTTTTTCAAAAATTAATCATTTAATCTTTTATGTTTTAATTTTTTTAACAACTTAGTTATTTTATCAGTTTTTCATTAAATTAGTAATTTTTGTTTTCAAATTGTGTTTTTTTTTGTTGAAAAAAGAGTAGAAAATGAATGAAGAAGAGAAATAAGGCATAAAGAAAAAGACAATTTGAGGGGGAAAACCACTAATTTAACCAAAAAAGTGATGAATTATTAATGTTGTATTGTGAAAGAAAACACATTCAATTTTAATATGATGAATTTTATATGTTCAAATCTCTAGTTAATGATGCGAGAACTAATTAATAATAAATAAATGAACGAGTAAATGATAAATTAGTCTCTTTTATTTAGAAAAACAAATTAATTAGTCTTTTTTTTTAATCTTTCGTGTTTTTATTTTTTTAATAATTAAGTCATTTAATCAGTTTTTTTTTAAATTAGTGATTTTTGTTTTCGAAAAGAGTAAAAAATGAGCGAAGAAGAGAAATAAGACATGAAAAAAAGCAATTTGAGAGGAAAAAATCACTAATTTAACGAAAAACTGATGAAAAAAACTAAGTTATTGATGAAATTAAAACGTAAAAGACTAAATAATAAGTTTTTAACAGAAGAGGCTAATTAATTTATTTCTCAAAACAAGAAGGACTAATTTATAATTTACTCATAAATAATAATAAAAGAAAAAGAAAAAACGGTGAGAGGTTTTACATTCAGTGGCCACTTTTCCCTCTGTTTTTCTCGCAGATAAACCCTCTCTCCCTCTGTCCCCAAAATGGCAAGAGTAGCATGCGGCAACCTTGTGCCTGCTTTGTCGCGTCTTCCAAAGAAGTCAACACCATCATTTCCTCTATGTAGAAACCATTCTTTCTTCACTAACGACTCCCAATTTATAGGCTTTTTCGGGATTGCCAATAGGCGGTTTTCCACTTCCGCTTCAAAGATAAGCATGAGCTTGAAAGCTGGAATTGTTGGACTCCCTAATGTTGGAAAATCCACTCTGTTTAATGCTGTTGTAAGTATCTCTACCACCCCTTCTGCTAAATTTTTTTGCTTCTTTAGAAAATAACAGAAATGGATAAAGAATTGTTCTTGTGGTCTCTCTGCTAAATGTGTAATACAAAAGTTAGAAATTTTGGAGGGAGGACTATGGATTTTGGCATTTATTACGTTTGTTGTTATTTTGGTGTATGAAGTGCTTGATGTGGGATTAAATGGCATGTTTTTTAGGTGGAGAATGGAAAAGCTCAAGCTGCTAATTTTCCATTTTGTACAATAGAGCCGAATGTGGGGATTGTTGCTGTTCCTGATTCAAGACTCAGTGTACTTTCTGAACTAAGCAAGTCTCAACGAGCTGTCCCTGCATCTATCGAATTTGTAGATATTGCCGGGCTTGTCAAGGGTGCCAGTCAAGGGGAGGTTGTTTGATATTTCTTTTACTAGTATTGGTTTATTTAGAAATTAATGAATTCTTGGGTGTTATGCCATTTTTAAGGAAAACATGTGGCTTTGTTTTTGGACTAGAAGTTTGATTGTGCCTTGTTGGCTTATATTCCTGTTATTTTGATTTATTTGCAGGGTTGGGTACAAGTTCTTGTCGCATATTCGTGAAGTTGATTCCATTCTTCAGGTTCATCTTCGTTCACATTGATGTTCTTTTCTAGCTACTTCCGGTTGTAGTATACTTAATAAAACTGTTGTTTTATTTATTTATTGTTTTTTTTTTTGTTTGGGGGGGGGGGGGTGGTGCTATTTCTAGGCTTATCCTCGTGGTAAACCCCTTTCTCCTATCCCAAACAATCTTAGGTTCAATGCCGAGGCTTCTCTTGTTAAGATGGGAGGTAACCCTCGAACTAAACATAAAGCTTACAGAGCTGACATTATTGTATATACATATTTTGTTGTTTCCTTAGACTAGATGAGGATGTGTGTAGTCATTACTTAATGGCGGAATGACTTGTTTAGCTTACAAAACCATATTCATAATTTTGAATGTCAACTGAGAGCCTACTTTTTTGCAAAATTCTGAATACTGTTGCTAGGCAATAGGTATATTATTGAGACCTTTTCATGTTGTGTATTAAATGCATATTCATTATTGGTCCAGGTTGTGCGCTGTTTTGAAGATAATGACATTGTTCATGTAAATGGCAAGGTCGATCCTAAGTCTGATATTGATGTAATCAACTTAGAGCTTGCTTTCTCAGATTTGGATCAGGTATACTGAATAGAGCTAGAAAATTTGCTACTTCAGCATGTTCATATTTGTGTCTTTAACTCTTTATTTGTGATGGTATTCATATACAGCAAATTGCAAACTGTAATGGGATCTTAGAAACTTGCAAAAGAGCAAGCTTAAATGCCCAAGTTTTTGAAATTTATGTTCTAATTTTATTTTTTTATTTTTTATTTTTAAGGGTAAGATCGCTTTGGTAACTTTTGTTAGAGAATGCAGGGGATAGGTTTTTATCATTTGTTCTTAAATCTGATTCGTTAATGATCTTTAAATATATACTCTAAATTACTTTAGTATTTACTAGCAACTACAAAAAAGGCTGGTGGTCTAGTGGTAAGGGCTTGCTAGTGCCAAAGAGATTTAGTGGAATCTTGGATTCATGTCCTTTGGTGGTAGTTGTGTGGTTCAATTCATGCTTATTGATCATTGAACAACAGCTTTTATTATGCCCTTCATGGGGCTGGGATTTAAGGCTATGTCTCAACTTGGACTAGAAAGATGGCCACTATTTAGTCGACCCCTTTATACTCTTTTTGATGAGCATAAACAGTATTTTGGAGTCAAAGTTCTTAGTTTTCAATCTAGGAAAACCCTTTAGCTGTCTTTGTGATCTTGGCTGAAATATTTACAAAATTCTACACTTTCTTTGATATAGCAGAAAAATGATTTAAATTTCATATGAATTTCATTACTTCAACCGCAGAAGTCCTACCTCTGCAACTCTTGACTATGTCATTATCAATTTGCCATATGATAAACTCAAAACCCACAACTATCATTCATGGCAGTGTTCAGCAGTGCCGGGCAGATGCTGTGTAGTTTAAAATCTCAATGTTTCTTCATTTTCTTTTGACCAATATTTTACCTGTTGCTTCCTCAAATATAACCATATATTTCTCTACCAATTAGTTGTTCATTATCAATGTTTGGATTTTGGAAGTTTATACAAGGACTTTATTTTATTGCTGTCCTACATAGTTTGGGATTTTCTAAATCCTTGCCTAAATCTCAAATATTTTGTCTTGATTTACTTTAGTGATAGTCTTTAAAGTCTTAACACATTACTTGGTGCAAAAATAAAAATGATAAGGTGCGCCAATGAGATCTTGTCCTCTTGTTCTTTATCAGTGCCTTTTGCCTTTCAATTGCATTTACTTGAAAGTTCCTTGTGATGATAACCTTCGTATCTTACAGTTAAATATGCCAATCCTCGTCAAATAAGCTGACAGAACTAATTTATGCATTTTACAAGAAATGCAGATTGAGAAAAGATTAGAGAAGCTCAAGAAAGGGAAGCCAAAGGATTCACAATCTAAACTCAAGGTAAAATGAGGTTTTGTGGGTTTCAATGCCTATGCGAGCAGCCTGTCTGCCATATTTTCAATTTTAGATGTATGGCTAAAGTATGGCTCTCTCAATATATAAAATAATGCAATTTTCTTATTTTAGGAAGAGGCTGAAAAGTCTGCCTTGGAAAGGATTCAGCAGGCAATCATGGAAGGAAAACCAGCACGATCTGTAACATTAACAGATTTTGAAAAGGATGCAGTAAAGCATCTTTGCTTGCTTACTATGAAACCGGTCATATATGTGGCAAATGTTGCAGAATCTGAACTAGCTGATGCTGGAAATAATCCTTACGTCAAAGAAGTGATGAGTCTTGCATCTGATTTGCAATCTGCACTGGTGACAATTTCTGCACAGGTATGGTGATACCTTCTAGAAGCCTTTGCCTCTATGCATGTGTTCTGCTGTCCATTTCAGATTGATATACCTTGTAGAAGCTTTGAACTGTTTATTTTCAACTGTTGCATGAAGCAGGTAATTTAAGGATGCTGATTATTGCAGGTTGAATCAGAGCTTACAGAACTGCCGTTCGAAGAACGAAATGAATTTTTGAAATCACTTGGTGTTAGTGAAAGTGGTCTCGGGAACCTCATCAGAGCAACATATAGCCTTTTGGGGTTGTGCACATACTTTACTTCTGGAGAGAAGGTGAATAATTTGAAGTTTTCTGAATATACTATTTATATTAATTTTTTGAAGGAGTATTTTCTTTTTTCCACAGGAAACAAAAGCATGGACCATA